CCTTTGGGCATGGTTTAGTTAGGACGGAATGGAGAACTAGCGCACCCTGGTGGGTGGCTTTGGGACTATTTGGAATTGTAGGACTATGTCGGCGCTTAGTGGGTAAAACTCTTATATGGTGTCGAGAAGAGGGGAGGTTGGGAACAGGAAGGGTCAGGGCGGTTACCGACTTTAGGTAAGAAAGTAGGGAATAGACAACACGCTGGTGGTGTGGAAGAACTTTATAAAATAAAATACTCGTTATTGGATAATAGTTTTATTTAGAGGGTTAGCAAGTCTGTACATAGTATAAGGTTTGAATAGTTTAACTTTATAAGGAGGGAGCTGATGGGATTGTAAGGAAGGGGGCAGGGGGTAAGAGGTTTGAGCGGTCCGGGAGTGCTGGGATGGTAGGTCTTAGGAATGAGAGTGGGGTAGTTTTAGGATGGTACATTATTCTAAACTAGGTCGGAGTGGAGGATGTAAGGTTGAAAAAAGGCGACTAGGACATGATATAGTATATGGAAGACGATTAGTGGATATATTAAAAGGGGTTCTTCTTCTAATAGTGTCAGGCACTCTATCTCCATTTCTACTCTTTCCGCTCCGTCACTCATTCCCCTAGCTTCTGGAGATTGCTTTGTTCTGCGGATCCTTTCCTGTCCTAAATTTTTCCTTGCTCTTCGCGTACCCCTACCAGTGTTTTTCCGCCTGAGACCCTGTCGGGGCTTAAGCTCCACCCTACTTCCATATAGAGTGAATAGAGTAAAGAGAGTAAGTAAATTGACAAATTTAGATTGTGGGGAGATCTCACACGAGATATGTTTTAGCCATAAAAGGAGGAGAGCATAGGGCAGTTTCAAGGGTACTTACTTACTTACTAAGAGTACCTACCTCTATTGCTTACAGTAGAATTGCTACGGAAGAAAGTGCCTACTTGGTTTGTAAAATAAAGGATACTATGAGTAGCTTGACCAATGGAGTACGTACGGAATGCAGTAATAGTCCATGACAGGTTGTTATAGGATTTCAGCTAGGACCGGGTGTGTAACTCGTTCAGGGGGGCCTGGCTCGGGGACAGCGGCTTATCTGAAAAGATTTTGTAGGAGGTTAGAACAGTATGCTTGAGGAAGTTACCTGTATCCAGTAAGGTCGGTTAAGCTTGCGTTTGGGCAAGGGGAGGCCGAGTGTGTGTTGAGCTAAAAATAGGGGAGGAGAGTATTTGATTACCCATTGATGCTTGGAGAAAATGGAATTTTTATTATAGGGGGGGCCTACTTACAAGTTGTTGTTGTTAGAGTTAGCAGGAGTATTCGGATCAAAAGTTTTGGTCCAGGATGGGTTTTTTAGTCTCCGTTGAATTCTTGCTGACAGCTTCTCGGGTTTTGTTTTGGTGGAGGGTACGGTAAACATAAATGTGAGAGGGCGCTCGCAGTAAGGAGAACTATTTCATGTATGGATGTGAAACGGGGCATGCATAAATGTGATTAGGTAAAGGTGCAACTGTGAAAGGAGATAGGCACGGCTGTGAACCGATGCAGGCACAAAGGTGACTTGAAATGTGTACCTATGTGAAGTGCAACACGTAACAAAGGTGAATGGGGACAGGAATGAATGTGAATCGGTGCGGGTAACGATGTGAATAGGTACAGGCACCACTGTGAGTTGGGGCGAGCACGCATGTGAGTGGGCATGCGCAGACATGTGAAAGTGGCACAGGCTCCACTGTGAATAGGCACATGCACGCATGTGAATTGGTGCGGATGCCAATGTGAATTGGTAAACGCATAAGTGTGAATTGGAGGGTGTAGCAATGAAATTAGGAATAAGCATTAATGTAGACGGGCGTAGGCATTAATAGGGAATGGCGTGTGTACAAGGGCGAGGTACTTTGTACTCGCTGAGTAACGCTGCTCTTATTAGAACTAGGAAGTAATAGGTTAGAAATGTGACACAGGCTCGGAAGTCAGTCTGCTAAACCTTATAAAAAATAGAATATAGCCATTGGGAGATAGATACAAGTTAAAGCGTTGTCTCTAGGGTGGCACTATTGATGTGGAGGCGCAACTTCGTGACGGCAGAGGCGAAGGATTTACCAGTTGATGTCGCACTGTTACGGCGACAGTAATCTGCAAGGGGTACACTCTTTATAATATGTTGTTGATGGGATATAGGTAGAATCTTATCTTGGGAACTTTAGTCTATGCCTATATTGACAGCTACGTAATTTGATTCTTAGATTAATTTATATCCGATGTACAATGAAAGATATGTTAGAATTTGCTGTATGAACGAGGCCCTTTGGTGTTACATAGAGGTTAATTTCAACTCTAATTTAATAGTGAAGGATATATATAAAAAATCTAGGCCTCAGTAAGGGATATGAATATCTTACGTTGTTTAAGTAAGTTAAACTGGATAGATGGAAATAGCGGGTACGTATATACTTCTACTCTATGTGAGGTGTTTGCTTCGTCGTACTGTGCACTTCCAGGAGCATTTCCGGTAGGAGAGCATCGCAAAAGCCGAGAACCATATACACACTCTTAAACAGGGGTGTATTCGCAATATAAAGAAATGTTTGGACTGAGGCGATGGAAAGGATGAATTGAAGATAATAAATAAAGGAAGAAATAAGTAAAGAATTTGAATAAGAGGCGAGAGGTTAACTGGACTGTAATTTGTGGTTGTGGTCACAGGAAAATATTTGTGGTTAATATAGTAATTTAGGCTGGAGTAATTTACATAGAAAGGAGGAAAATTTGTTATAGAAACAGTTGGGGATTTTACTTTGATTCTGTGATTTGGTTCAGAGGACTGTGAGCTCATGGAGGAAGGATAGAAAACAAGCAGACAGAATTTCCTTAGTATATTTGTAGAAAAGTTGTGAATAGTTGTGTTGTGTGCGTACTACCTGAAACAATTAATTAGTGATCTAAAGGGATACGGACTGTGAACTTATGGGTTCCTTTTGTCTTGTCCTCTATTGGTTTGTTATTGGAATCTGGACTCTTCGCACAAATAGAGATTGAATGTTTATTAGGCCTAAGCCTGTTACGGGGTGCTATACTTCCTAAATATTTGAATGCTCCTCATGTTGGTTAATTGTTTGTTATGTGGCAGAAAGGGTGGTGTAGTTTGCGATGCCTATTACTTTAATCAAATGGTGAATTTAACTATGACAAGTGGATAATAGGTCGTTATAGAGGGCTTCGTACTAGGTTACGATAGTCAAATAGTTTTTAGTTTTAAGAATAAGTTTTAAGAATAAGTTTACTGGATAGTGGCACTACGGCTTTCACTGAATCAAGTTAGCTGGAACTGAGCTAAGCTGAATTAAATTAAATTCAGGTAAATTAAATAATTATGCACAAAGGGTGATGGTAAAGTAGAATAGAGAAACAAAACGTTCGTTATAGTGCTTTAATTTAATTTAATTTAAGTTAATTTTAATTTTAATTGAATTTAAAATTGAAAATGAAACTAAATATAATATTAGTTAAGATGTATATTAAATTATAGCTAGATTTAGCGATGGACAGTTGGATGTCTGGGCGAACTCTCAGAGGAAGACAGTCATGGGCTGTATAAACATATAGAGAGAATTATTTATGGATATGTAGAGAAAATTGAGAGCTCAGATGTGATCTGACAAGGAGGCCTTTCATAATGACGCGGATAAATCAGGGGCTATAGGTGGGATATAGAAGTAGGTGGCATGGCGTTGGGTGTTGGGGGAGTATTATCATTTTGTGGAGCATTAATACTTCTTTTGGAATTTATTGCTACTTTTATTCCTTTTCTTCTACGAATACTTCTACCTTTCCTGTGTTTATTTTTCTTCTTGGTTATCTTTGTTTAGTTCGTTTCATTTTCTTGTCTGGCAGCAGCCCCATAATTGTTCAATTGTTCAATAATTGAATAATAATTGATCAGTAATTGTTCAGTATGGGGGGGTTAGAAGGGGGAGGTGATAGAAAGAAAGCGGAGGGGACTTATGTTGGACGAGAACGTAAGTACTTTTTATATACACAGATATGTAGTGGAATTGTGAGAGTGGGAGACGGAATGGAGGAAATTTTTGGTTTTAGGTGGTTATGTTTGCTGTTTTTCACGCGTGGGAGTGCGCGGGTACGTGTGTATGAGGCTATTTGTAAGGATGTGATCTTAGTGTGCTGTTTGTTGTATAAGGAGGTGGAGGGTATAGGTGTGTGGGGCCGCCAAAGAGGGCGTTCTTGTTTTACGTAGGCTGAGTAGGTAGGTAGGTAAGATAGGTGTTTGTTGTTTTAGATCCCGTATTAGGGGATAACCGACCTAACTCCTCCTGGAAGGTGGGGCCACCTACGTTACTGGATAGTGGCACTACGGCTTTCACTGAATCAAGTTAGCTGGAACTGAGCTAAGCTGAATTAAATTAAATTCAGGTAAATTAAATAATTATGCACAAAGGGTGATGGTAAAGTAGAATAGAGAAACAAAACGTTCGTTATAGTGCTTTAATTTAATTTAATTTAAGTTAATTTTAATTTTAATTGAATTTAAAATTGAAAATGAAACTAAATATAATATTAGTTAAGATGTATATTAAATTATAGCTAGATTTAGCGATGGACAGTTGGATGTCTGGGCGAACTCTCAGAGGAAGACAGTCATGGGCTGTATAAACATATAGAGAGAATTATTTATGGATATGTAGAGAAAATTGAGAGCTCAGATGTGATCTGACAAGGAGGCCTTTCATAATGACGCGGATAAATCAGGGGCTATAGGTGGGATATAGAAGTAGGTGGCATGGCGTTGGGTGTTGGGGGAGTATTATCATTTTGTGGAGCATTAATACTTCTTTTGGAATTTATTGCTACTTTTATTCCTTTTCTTCTACGAATACTTCTACCTTTCCTGTGTTTATTTTTCTTCTTGGTTATCTTTGTTTAGTTCGTTTCATTTTCTTGTCTGGCAGCAGCCCCATAATTGTTCAATTGTTCAATAATTGAATAATAATTGATCAGTAATTGTTCAGTATGGGGGGGTTAGAAGGGGGAGGTGATAGAAAGAAAGCGGAGGGGACTTATGTTGGACGAGAACGTAAGTACTTTTTATATACACAGATATGTAGTGGAATTGTGAGAGTGGGAGACGGAATGGAGGAAATTTTTGGTTTTAGGTGGTTATGTTTGCTGTTTTTCACGCGTGGGAGTGCGCGGGTACGTGTGTATGAGGCTATTTGTAAGGATGTGATCTTAGTGTGCTGTTTGTTGTATAAGGAGGTGGAGGGTATAGGTGTGTGGGGCCGCCAAAGAGGGCGTTCTTGTTTTACGTAGGCTGAGTAGGTAGGTAGGTAAGATAGGTGTTTGTTGTTTTAGATCCCGTATTAGGGGATAACCGACCTAACTCCTCCTGGAAGGTGGGGCCACCTACGTTCCCACAGGTGAGCGTACCCTTCTTGGGGGCAACTGCCGTAGCCCGTCCCAAGCCGGGTTGAGAAAAGTAGAGGGGCCTAGCCGTACCTAACCTGTGTCCCCTGCCGGCCATCCAACGCCGGATGCAGAAGAGATGCCGAGAGGCGAACGCTCTGCACCCGGGCTGAGGAACTCCAACTCGGCGATGGTTTCGGCCCGAAAAAAAAAAGGTTAGGTTGGGTTAGGTTGGGTTAGGTTGGTTAGGTAGGTTATGTTAGGTAAGGGACAGCTGCTCCGAGTATTAGGGACAGCTGCTCCGAGTATTTCACTCGAAGGGGTTGGTTTTTGGAGGTGTGGTATTGAGCATCTACTGTTTGTGCAGATTTTTGGATATCTGAATCAATGACACAATAAGAACAGGGTGCTTTCTTTGTGGAGTAACTTTATATATTTATTTATGTATACATATATTTATACTTACACATATTGATACTAAGTGTAACTGATGTTAAGCAGGCTTAATATGCAATTATACTTTTGTCTATAATGTAGGGTTAAATTGATGTTTTGGACTGACATTTTGTGATAAGGAGGTGACATTTGACAGGCAATATATTGGAATTTCTGAAAACCCTTTGGTTTGGATATTGGGAATCTGGTATAGGTGGGTTTTCTTTTTCCTATATTAGATGTATAGTTTACCTGGGAAATAATGAGGATTAGATGACAGGTCAGGGAACGTTACTAATTCTACTAGGCAGTTGCTCATGCTGTATGTAATTTGAATGAGCAAGCTCACTCAGTGTTCTCTTTTGCTTATCGCAGGAAACTAATGTTGGTTTCTGATTTTTCCTGGAATATCATGGTGGAAAGTGTGAGATATAGAAGCAGGTGTTGAGAGAGCATATTGCAGGGTCTACGATTCTTAATTTCTTTTATAAGAATGCGAATGTTATATTCTCTGTTTCTTATTTTTAGAATTAATTGAGTTTTGGTAGGCGCTCCCAGGTTTTTTCTTTTATATGGTCTGAAGGTAAACTTTGTTTCTGCTCCGTTACCTCTGTTGGATTCTGTTATCGACTGTTAGTGTGTATACAGTAAGATGTTGTTTTTGCTGCGCAATACAACCCATTGGTATAATTAATTCAAGTAAGGGTTTTTGGACATCGATATATCGATATGTAGATAAATGATTTCGGTACTTCGCCCTGGAGGCGGAATGAATTTTTGTGGAAGGGACAGCTGCTCCGAGTATTTCACTCGAAGGGGTTGGTTTTCAGTTCTGCTGTGGGTAGTAGGGCTGGAGATATTGGCCGCAAGGGGCATTGGGGGACTGTGGACCCCAATGGTTTATGATATTTTTGGTATAGGGAATTTACGGCATTTTATTATCTGTGGGTGGGTGGTTCCTCTTGTCGAATGGTTTTTGTTTTTGTGGGGTATTTTTTATCTTTTGCACTTGTTCTTATCTTTTGTACTTGTTCTCCTAGGTGTGTTTTAACGTCTTGACATAAATCTTAGATTTATTCGGACCGTTTGTAGTTTTTTGGGAACTTAACCTAACACTCCCTAGGGGGCGGCCCCGTCTGAGTCCCACAGATGTAGGGCGTACCCCCTAGGGGGCTACCGCCGAAGCCGGTCCCAAGCCCGGTTGAGAAAGGTAGAGGGGCCTAATCTAACCTAACACTTTTGTCCCCCGAGCTGACCTCCAAGCCGGGTGTGGGAGAGATGCCGTCAGGCGATTGCCCCACACTCGGGCCAGGGCACCCCAACCTGGTGGATGGTTTCAGCGGATATGTACGTATGTATGTATGTTAGGTAGGTTAGGTAGGTTAGGTTAGGTAGGTTAGGTTAGGTGGGTTAGGTTGGCGGACGAACTGGTGCCGGGGTGGCACAAGTCGGATCTCCCACCTCCACGTGGTGTTCGCTGGGATAGAGGAACTGCG